TCTAACGTTTTCAAATCACTTATATTTAAACAAACAAAGAAGAACTGTCAGCCAATATTAATGAAGAATCCCACCAACTGGTCAATAAACAAATACTTTCCCTGGACTCTCCTCTCAACAATGTACTAGTTTTGACCAAAGAAACACTTGAACATTTTATTAACTTCCACCATTAGGTTTAAATATATCAAAAGCCTCCTTGTCAGCCTGCACAGACACACCTCTTGTTCCTACTTTGCACACACAGTTAGTGAGTCTTATCTAGAATGAACCGAATATCTTCCTCCAAAAGCAAAATCAGATAGGGCTCAGACTGACCTTTTCTGGGCCACACTCAGTCTGGATTAAAAGGATGCATGCATGACCAGGTTTCGTGCTTTCTTCCCAGGACAGTCCTCGAAATGCTATCTCAGCAAGCCTCAGCTCCTCTCAGCTCCTCTCCTTGTACCACATGGGAGTTCACTCACCCTGTACTGCACAGGAAGGCTGTAAGGTGGAACGCCATGCTGAGTGCATGGTGGCACATATAGTATACTGAAGCAGAAGAGTAGGGCCAAGGTACATTGGATAGAAACTGAGCCAGAATTAGTCCGAAGAGTTTTCAGTGTGGAGTAGCTCGTCCACTCACAGGATTGACAAACATGATGCAAAAGAGGCCACACAAATTGGCCTTTGTTGACTATAGACTGTGCTCTCTGGCACAATTCCCAAAGGCAATAAAAACACTCTTTGAAGCCCCAGTGCATTAAAGGACTTAAGATGCTCTTAAATTTAAACATGTGCTTAAGGTCTTTCTTGAATCAAGTCCAGAAAGTATAGTTGCATGAGGACATGAAGATTTACTTCAAAATCAAAAAAGAAAAAAAGAATAAGGATTCTTGAAGTCAGATAAGCTTACTAAAATACTTCACTCTTCCCTCAGTGGTACTTTTTGTCTAATGAAAGAGATTATACAAGGCCAATAGGAGTCCAATTCTTGAATAATAAGCAACAGTTATTGATTCTTTAGCTGAAGCTTGCTTGATTAAGATGGGAGAAGATTACCTCTTATGGCATTGTTTTTTTGAAAGCCCAGTTTGAGAAACAAACATGAGTAGCTAGAAACAGTAAGTAGCTGTTTGCTGTAGTGCCAATTTCCTGTATCTCGCTCAGCCTGCATGAACACTACAAATCCTCACATTTGTGCTCTTAGTACAACTTTCATTTTATTTGATCTGTTTCTTAAAAGACAGATATATTTCTGTATGTGTCTCTCACATTCTGAGGGCCCTGCTCAGGCTGCACTTTCATTGTGAGTACAGCCATCGTGGAAGGCAAGAGGTATTCAGAGAAACTGGCAACCAGGATTCACTAAGGAATGGAGATCTCATACTGAGCAAGAGCTGCCGTGGTTGTTGAGTGTCTGTGAGATGAAAGGAAAACTCCCCTTTAGAAGGATCTGCTGCCAGTTTTGTCTGATGTCTAGTCACATTCAGTGGGGTAGCAATCCATCTGCAGTTAGTATTTTATATGGTTTGGGTCTTATTTTCCACACTGAGAAAAGAAATAATGTTGATAGCTCAGTGCATGACAGAGAGCCTAAAAACCTCCAAAAGAAGCCATTGTAAAAGAAAGAATAATGATTACTCTCTGTCTTCAGTGAGTGCTGAGTTAACCTGTGACAAGTACATATGCAAGATTATTGAGGGCTGGCAAATAAAATAAACTGAATGCCTGAAATAAAATTGTTGAGAATATTGAAAGAACTGGTGTGATTTAGCTTCTTTCAATTCCCTCTTCTTGCACAACAGTTTCCCTTTGCCAGTGGTACCAAGGCATAAAAAATAACTTTTTCTCTACTTTAACAAATGCCATGTAATTTACCCTTCCATAATTAATTGGAAGCTCATTCTCCTTCACAGTGATTTACTATTTGAGTCCATTTATGCTAGCTAGGAGCATAGATATCACAATGCTTAATGTTATATATAGACTGGAATCAATCTTCTGTGAGTTAGGTGTGTAGGTCTAGGGAGACTGCCCTTATGCATGCATGGAGTCCAGATGTTTTACATCCATTGCTTCACAACATTTGCCACCTAGACTAGACATGCCCAAAGATGCTTCATGTTCTGTCAGCAAAGTTCTTTATACCCAAAATGGTTTGATACCTGTAGATCACCTTAAGATCTTCATAAAATGGCTGGCTCATTTATGTACCAGCCAACACTTCAAGAATGTCAGTGAAGGTCATGACTTGTGTTTAGGATTTGGTCATGATTCTTGGTCATTTCAATCTGGATTAGATTTTTCTCCTGTTTTATTAATCTTTGAAACAATTTTAGCAATGTGTCCTGAATGCAAAATATACAAGCCTTGTATAGAGTTTCTATGAAGACAACAACTCTCTTTCCAGTTCTATCTATCTATCTATCTATCTATCTATCTATCTATCTATCATCTATCATCTATCTATCTATCTATCTATCAATCTATCTTTCACATTTCTTAAAATTCAGCCCAAGATTAGCCACGCTGGGTGGATCCAGTGCTCACAGAGGTAATTAAATTAATTGCAGGCTTAAAATTTAGCATATACTTCAGAACATTGCTGTGTATACAGCAATTTATATTTGTAGTAACAAGTCACATATCTTATTATTGTGCTTACTTGTTATCAATACGATAATTTATTGGCTCAGTCTTGATGCCAAGAAACCATTCTGATTTGACATAAAGCCTTGTAGCACACAGCATAACTACCACTATCTGAAATGAGAAATGAAATAAGGGACTGTGCATGTTCACCAAGGGCTGAATGTACTTCCACTGAGTTCAGTGCAAAGAACTTCCAAAATCCAGCATAAAGGGAATCAGATTATCCAGCCAAAGCAGTAGCATACTCAGAGACTGAGAATTTCACAGCCCTCCTGAAAGCAAAAGGTATGATGTCCTATTGGACAGACAGTAGGCAATAGCCATTTGCCTTCAAATTGAGAACTGCTACTCACCATATATCCACATCAGCACTTTGCTTTCAGAAGACTGGGTTTCATTATATTGCATTAATTTGCAAGGTAAGCTTATATTGTTTCGTAACGGAGTGCTGGTGAGTTTAGGAGGTTCACAGTATATTGCAAACTAGCAAAGACAGCAATAAATAATATAAATAAATATCTGGATCAGAATACAGGTTTTGAAGTCATAGGGAGAGAGTTTCTATAGTTGTTCCATGAAGTTTCCTGTTTTAGAAATTTAACTACATTACTCTTACAGCTTTCTATGTTACTAGTCCAGCTTGGGGTAAAAAGAAATCCGACAAATCACTTTATCTTTTGCTAAATATTTGTTATTGTTTATCCCTTATTCTCTTACTTCAGCTGAGTTGTCTGCAAGTTTAAGTACTTGATCAATTATTTTGCTTGATCAGGGTTTTATACATCACATTAGCTGAAGTTTTTCCATTTAAACTTTTTTTTAGTAGAAGGTGTGATTTGTAACATTTTGACCTGAAAAAACTAAGCTTGATACCAAAACATATCCATGTATTTATGTCATTAAACCAACCTTGTACATACGAATACATATATAGCAATCAGATAATTGTCTTAGCTGAAAAAAAAAGTAATAAAATCAGGTGACAGGTTAAAAGCAAACATTTTAAGCAAACATTTTAAACCAACATGACAATCATCACATTTTCATATTTGCCATCAAAGCAAATTTAATACTTAAGAACCTATTATATAGTCAAATTTTGATAGCAATGACTGCTCTTAAGAGTGCATTTGTTCATACCTGTCACATAAATATTTTCCAAACCCAAAATTCATTAGCTTAACGAGCTGAATGGTTGAATATATTAGTCTGATAGCTTATTTACTGAATTTCAGCATATTTAATTCAGAAAATAAACAGGTCATTTTCTTCCACATTCAGGAGTCATAACAAGTTGTCCAGCTACCATTGAAGTTCAACAGATCTTTACAAAATTGAGGAACAATTCACAATTATTTGAGAAATTATATGAGAGAAATTGCTAAAATTCCTCAACAAGCTACTTCTAAAAAGTGATTATTACCAGCTGAATTCAGTGTATGAGGCTGATGTAATCAAATGTCTATGTTAAAATCTGTTTATCTCTATATCAGTATAATACCACTTACAGTCCTGGTTCAGGTAAAAATTCCTTGAGACACAATGAGACTTAAGGACATACTGCATTTAAATACACTCAAAAATTGGATGAATCTGGGCTTTGGTCACTAAGGTTGTTCATCTTCTCTATATCTGACTTCTTTATTCCTCAAAGGGCAAGAACAGTCATAATCCTAAAGCAACTTCATACAGCTATGTGTTTAGAGACATCTTAATTTTTGAAACAAAGACTGTCTACTATTGTAATACCTTTTAAAAACTGCTTTTCAAGGTTCATCACCCTTAAAAGGGGGTGCAATTTATCATGCTGGAATAATGTTAGGTATTGAACTTTACTGTGTTCCCAAAATGTAAGCTGAACCATAAAAAACTTTACTGTCTTTTGAAATATTAGACACATTTCAGACTGGAACAGCAAATTATGTTCTTAAAGTTCTTTCTGGCATTTAAAAGTTGTGTCCCCATTTTCCAAACAGGTTAAACAGCAAATGTGAAGTAAAGAAAAAAAAAAAGAAGTGTTAAAAATGGCTACCTTAAGTGTAAGACTGGGACATATTTCACAGAAAATGTGGAAAATCTCTTTTAAAAATTATGGTAAACAATTACATATTCTTCAGTGCACATAATTAGTACGTACATTATAATTTAAAACTGAGTATTGATGACTGCTGCTGCTGATCTTTTAAAATCTCTTACAAAATATAAATAGTATAGCCAAGAGAGGATATCTGATAAACCATGACATAATTTTCTCCTCTCCTTCTATTTTTTTCCTCTTTTCCTTTCCTCTCCACTTGGACTGAAGTTTCTTCTGGCTTCTTCAAAAAAGTGCACGCACACACACACACACACACACACACAAATTAATCCCAAAACCATTTTTCCAAATTTCCAATGGACTTGTATTCCTGGTGTCTTTTCACATGATCACAAGCAAGACATGCATGTGATTCCCAGAACCTAGGAAGATGCACTGAGAAATCCTTCTTCCAGTTGAAATAACTAAGGTACATCTTGTTATTTTTGTCAAGCATCAGAAGATAATCTGCCAGATCTCTTGGGGTGAGAAAATCTTCCACGTGTATGAAAGAGTCTCCTGGAATGTAGTTCTCATAGTTTTCTCTGGAAGGGCCCAGTACAACTGGTACTGATCCAGCCAGAAGGGCATTGTAGAGTTTCTCAGTAATGTAATCTTTGTGGATAGAATTTTCAAAGGAAAGGTAGAATTTGCAAGTGGAGATAGTTGGAATCAAGTTTTTATCATTGACGTAGTCTCCAAAGGCTTGTCCGTAGGTATGAATTTCAATGTATTTGCTAAGCTCATTGTAATACTTGACTCGAGCGTGCTCAGGGTTCCAGTTACTTACAACCCAACAGACCAAGTTTTCCTTACTTGGCACTTCAATTGGAAAGGAACTTGTACCAACCATCATGAAGCCATAAGGCACCTGAATATCTGAATCACGCCGGTAAGTCAGGGTCAGGTTAAAGAGGTGTTCAATGCCACTCTTTTGTGGAGTATGAGTTGGAGACTCCAAGTTCATCCAAATCCACTTCTGGAATGGTGGCCTGGCTTGCTGAGGTAAATTAGTCAGATCCCAGCTAATGTCTCTGTGATGAATGAGAACAGCCTGGGATTTGTTATATAGTGAGCGGTCAATAGTCAGATGGCACCCGTGAATATTGAACATTGTTTGGCAAGATGTTAGATCAAATGTCTGACCAAATGGCCAGACCCAGATCAAAACAGTAGTTTCATTAACATTTTCAGTTTTGGAAGAAAAGAAGCTCTTCATTTTCAGAACTGAACTGGCTGATTCTATAGGACCAGAGATCCAGCTGTTTGTTGGCTTGATATAAACTAGTATAAATGCCATGAAACAACCAAGGACAATGAAGATAATAAAAAATGGCCGGAAAATTCCTTTAGATGTCGATGTCATAATTTGTTCTGAGAAAAAAAGAGAGGGAGAGAAAGAGAGAAAATAACATCAGGTATTAAATTACATATATATGTCCTGTTAAAGCAATCAGACATCAAAATGTATAGAACTTCAACATCACTGAGTTGTAACCTCAGAAATTTCCTTTAAGTAGAGAGGGTATGAGTTCTTGCATGCTATTCATGACAAAGGGACAATGTTTTTCCACTTCACATTAAAAGCTAATTGAAATAAATGAAACAAAGGATTTCAATACATCTCATACTTTATACAAACCAGTACGTAACTTGAGAAGGATATATCTTGGAAAGGTTCTTTTTGCTTAGAACCTAGGCTAAGAGTTTAAGAGACACACAAAACAGACAAAATTACCCTTTGAGTCTGTCCTTCTGTCTGTGTAAGGGATAACATGCTGCAGATTTTGTCCATATTTGTGTATATATGTGTATGGAGGATACAGGATTAGAGGAATGAGAAAGGAAGGGACAGGAGCTTTAATTCTGTAGTCAATAAGACTGTTAGAAACTACTTCATTCTTGATGGCTTTATGGGGATGAACATTCGTGCCTTCTCCAGAGGACTCCTAAAATATCTAGGGAAGGAAAGCAGCAATAGAGATTCTCAGCTCCTCTGTTTTCATGTGCAGCCTCATTTAGTTCACACACAAAGAAAATGAGCAAAAAGATGTCCTTAAATATTTGGTTATGTTTTTATGGCACAGCCCTGTGTGGGGAAAATTAGGAAAAATAGAGATATGCTGTATCTTTGTGAGGTAATCTTTTTTTTTTCTTTTTCCATGGGGGAAAAGGGGCGAGGAGTTCATGTAATCTCCTTTGTCCTCTCTCTGGGTGTCTCTCCCTGAGAGAAGTGATATATCTCTTTCCAGAGCAGGTCTTCCATACGGTTCTTGTGAAACCCAGCAAAGTGAGGGGCTGCTTGTTTCTAACCTCTGCTCCTGAATACAGCCCTAGAACTCAGAGGTGTTCTAAACATAAAAAGAAAGGTATTTCTACAGTGCATTTCAACAACTATAAAATTTGTCTGGCTTTCTTTTTCTGCATATTTTTCCATTATTTGGGTTTCTGTTATCTTTACTAGCTAGCTCCACAAAAAAAAATCTCACTCATAAATATATACTTAAAATATATATATATGAATAAATGGAAAAATTAATTCAATTCACGGAAAGCAGAAAGACAATTTCAGGCCTTTTCAGCCAGTTTCATAGCACATCTCCTCTAACCTGTGAAATAAGCAGTTAAATTCAGAATGAATCCACAGTAGACTGTGATTCAGAGGTCCATTAACATAACTTTGCTGCTTTGAGAGCATAAAAACTGATATGTAAGTATAGCACTACAGTTACAACAAAAAAATTTTCACATTCATTGTTGAGGAAAGGAAAAAGGAGGTAACTTCATGCTTAGCTTTATTCTAACATTTTGATGAAAAAGGAATTTGCCACAATGTCTCCCCTGTTTTGGGAAGGCAGCTGGTCTTAATTCTTGTCTTAGTTATTGCAGTGGGTTAACCTTGGCTGGCTGTCAGACTCCCACCCAGCTGTTCTCTTACTCCCCCTCCTCAGCAGCTCAGGGGGAGAAAATAATAAAAGAATCTTGTAGACTGAGGTAAAGACAGGGAGATAACTCACCAGTTACTGTCACAGGCAAAACAGACTCACCTTGGGAAAAAAATAATGCAATATATTTCCAATTAAAATAGATTTGGATAGTGAGAAATAAAGACAGAAGTTAAAATAATACCTTCCCCCCCAACATCTTCCCAGGCTCAAGTTCATTCTTCATTCCCAACTCCTCTACCTCCTCCCTGCCCTGGAGCAGTGCAGACGGATGGGTAATGGAGCTCTGCAGTCAGTCCACAATGATTCCTCTCAGCAGCTCCTTCCTCCTCACACTTTCCCCCTGCTTTGACATGAGTCCTTTCCATAAGATACAGTCTCTTCAGGAAAAAAACCTCTGCTCCTGCATGGACTATCCATGGGCTGCATTTCCTTCAGCACACGTCCCCCTGCTTTGGCATGGGGTTCTCCCTGGGCTGCAGCGTGGTACTTCTCCTCTGTGGGCTGCAGGGAAATCTCTGCTCTAGTGCCTGATTGTTCCTCTCATCCTTCTCCAACCTTGGTGCTCACAAGGTTGTTCCCCACAATTTTTCTCCTCATTTCTCACTGCCTGTTCCTTTCTTAAATATGTTCTCCCAGAGGCACGACCACCTTGGCTGCTGGGCTGAGCTGTGCCCTGTGATGGGTCTGCTGGACACAGCTGGAACCAGCTGTGTTCATCACAGGGCAGCCCTGGCCTCTCCTCACAGAGAGGCCTCTGCTGCCCATACCTGGGCATGAACACCCAGTACAGTTCTATAAAATATAGTGGTATGTTGAGTCTGACTCTTTTTGTCTCAGCCCCTTTCTCTAGGACATTGTTTAGCAGGTCCTGTCTGCTTTCAGCAAAATGATCCTGAAGGGAGTAAAGGGGAGGAACTGTTGTGTTCATAGCTTTTCCACTTATCCAGTTTAAATCCCTCTAAAAGGAGGGCTTTTTTTAGCCTATGTTGATTTTTGATGGATAATATGTTTAAAGGGGAGGTGATGACCCATGAGAGCAGAAGGCTGCTTCCCTGCCTTACTATAGTGAAAGTCAGAATGGGGTCTCTGAAGAAAAAGGGATTTAGGTTGAGAAGCTCCAGGGGATGAAGCTCAAGGAAAGAAAAACAGGAGGCTGAGCTGATCTTCATGTAACTCTGTTCTTATCTGTTCTTAATTTCTGGTACTGAAACCAACACATACAATAGGTATCACCTTTTACGAACAGATAGCATGAGCTGCGTTTGAACAATAGGTTGGGAAAAGTGTCTATTCAGAGAGACTGTTCATTTTCTAGGGATTGAAATGGATGAGAAATCAGAAAAGGACCTTAACATTGTGCCTTGTAACTTAGTCACCTTCCAGTTAAAAGCCCTTTGACACAAGCCTCTCTGATGGGGATTATTTTACACTAAGCTCTTCTGCTAACTAATAAAAACCCCTGCATCATCACATAGTAATTCTTGCTAGATAGGAAATTATCAGATATTATGTATTCTGTTTTCTGCCTGAAATACTAGTGTGTCCATGATGTTGCATTTCCACGGGGAGCTTTTCAACTGTAGTGCCAACGTGAGGATGAACACTTGCTGTTTGTGCTACCCAGAGTACTGATATTAACATCTCACAACACTAAACAGTTGAGTTTACCTATTTTATCCCTTCCAGATCTGTTTCCTTGCATTGCTTTGCTGCCCTGTAAATTCATGTGCCCCCTTCTTATCTGGGATCACGGTTCTTAGATTTTCACCACAACACTAGCCTACAGTCAGCATAGCCCTTTTTAGTTTTCCATCCTTTGGATTCAGAGAACTAACCGGACACAGACTCATACATCTATTAGAAGTATAGGCATCACTGGCATGCTTCAGTTTGAAGCTACTGCTAATGGGATGGTGGAAAATAGCTGTAAAAGAAAGATCCATTAAAACCTGGAATGAGAGGCTGCAAGGAAGCAGAAAACCTGAGCAGACTTCTAAAATTACTACTTACCTATACACTGAGGAGCTGGACAGGATTTTGCCATGGAATTCTACTTTTCTATTCCATTTTGTGTCAACTCCAGTAATCACTTATAAGATGTGCACTGGAAATAACAGTAATTTTTCAGCTTGAAGTGCTAACCTCAGGTGCAATAACTTCTGTGCTCCATAAAGCAGACTGAGGAACCTGTGGAATGAACCAGTAAACTCTGCTTTCATGGCTTTTGGAATTGAGTCCTGTACACAGTCAGACAGCAGTACAGTGAAGGAATATGGGAAGCACCTATTGACAAATACTCTTTTGTTGACAAGTAGCTTGTCTCTACTCCTAGAAAGTACAGGTTGTGGTTTTTTGTTTGTCCAAAAGAAATCACGGAATACTTTTTTCACAATATTCTCAAAATGTAGAGTCTTTTCCATATTCATTTATTTCCTTCTCTTTTGTGCCCAAGATAGCCATAAATCTCCTGCTGTAATTCTCACTATAAAGGTGATGCTCAGGAGACATTTGTTGCAAGACATCCAGCCAAGTAACCTTAATTCACTCTTCTTCTTTCATGGCTTTCCATCTACCACAGAATCCAAGATTTCCTTTTTGTGGATCCCTTCCCCCATCTATCTCAGGCATGCCAGACTCTGAAAAGAAAACTTTGTCAAAGAAATGTGTTTACTGAGACTTTTGCCAAGTGGTAGAATTCAGCACTTTTGATAGTTTTCTTATAAAGTACATTTCAGAGTGTTGTGGCATAGCAAGCATTTTCTATGTGCTTTTTTTCTAAGTTGAAAGTATAGTATTTCATCAGTACAAGACTATTTTTCTCACTACAAAACTTAGCAAGTCTCCTTTTTAAGTGCAAAACTTGGCATTCCATCAGCAAGCAACTCAATTTAGTAGCAACACAAACAGAATGATACTAACAGGGTACCAGCGTCATTAACCCCAAGTACACCAGACAAGGCTTGCAAAAATATATATTTTGTGAATGCACCATGTTCACCAAGAAATAAAATGGAATTTTATGGAAACTGTTTTACCATGAGGATAAAAATTAGTGACAATCATTTCAGAAGGGATTGACATGGATTTTTGGTTATGCAACATTGCAGGAGGGAGAAAATGTAAACTTTTTGGTCAATAATATCAATGTTTATTTCTCTGGTATATTTTTACACCAGTTTCTGTGGTATACTCTCAGGATTTTGCAAGAAGCCCAAAATATGTCACCACTTGCAGAGGTATAAGTTTCATTACTAGACTAGTACTGAGATGTTTTTAAATTAAGCTGAAGTAAAGATTTTAGAAATCAGAGGCACTGAATAATGAATTAAAAAAATGGCTTGTAACTTTTGTCATCTTAGAATTCTTAAGTGTTCAAGGCTAACTGTTATCTACATCATCACTTGGTCTCAGGATAACTGA